CGGAGGGGCCTGGTTTAAAGAAACGTCTCCCCTTGGTTAAATCATTTTCTGCTGCTGGGGGCGACTGGGTGGCTTTCAGCCGCCGCTTCACAGTGACTTGTGCTTTGGTGGGATGGACGGACAGGGAGGTGTTGCAGGCTCTTCCTACGGGCCTAGACGACGCTGCCTTGGGTGCGTTTTTCTCCATCCCAGCGGAATATCGGGCGACGCTGCAACAGGCTCTTATGCAGATGGCGGGGATTTTTGATCTGCCTTCCAGCACGTGCCTTAGGTATGCTATGAGGCAACGGGAGGAGGCGGAGACGCCTCTGGTCTTTCGGAGCTCGCTCATTTCGCTGGCCCAGGCCGTGTATCCAAAGATGGACAAGGACGGCTTGTACGCCCTGGTTTTAGATGGCATGCTTGGCCTGGCCCTTGATCTCAACATCGTGCTGCCAGCCTCCTCCAACGACGAATTGACATTGTTAAAGGTCACGAGATTCCTCCAGGCCCACCTTAACCTCAAGCGCCACTCGCCTGTGGCGGTGTGTGCGGCCCCCGCCGAGGAAGGGACAGCCGCCGACGGAGTCGAGTCGTCCCAGGCCTTTGCGTCACTCGACGCCAGTTGATGGAGGAGGAACGAGAGGGGATCGAGGGACAACCGGGATCGGCGGACGAAGGCCTACTCTGGGACAAGATCGTCCCCCACTGTATGCTTCAAATGCGGCCATCTGGGCCACATCGCCAAGGGGTGCCGGACTGAACGCGGACAGGCCTCCGGGACGTCGTCTGCCTTCAGACGACCGTCATCCATCCCACGGGGCCCTCAGGCGAGTCGGGCTACACCGCACACCCGGCCCTCACACTCACCTCACCCATCCGCTTCGCGCGTTACGGGGGATCCGCAGGGGGGGCTGTCCGGTCAGGTCACGGGGCGTGAAACGTTAGGTCGGGGGACAGATGGGTGGTCACGTCGACCTGGTCAATGATTGGCGTTAAGCCAACGTATTGTGGCCGCGGCTGCGGCATCCTTGGCTGTCATAGGCACCATGCAGGGCATGGAGGTGTGGATGTTAATTGATACGGGAGCATTCGTCACCATCATATCTGAAATGATTTTTGAATGCTTGCTGCCTAAATTGGCTATCCTCCGTCCGGTCAAGGTACCGTGTTGCGCGGCCAACGGCGGATCGTTGAGCATTATAGGGCAAATGGCAGCGACCGTGACCATTGGTGACATTCAATTATCCGGCACGGTACTGGTTTCAAAATAGCTGGCTGTGCCTTGCCTCTTAGATACGGATTTTCTGGGGAGAATGCCCATTAAAATCCTTGTTGACCAAGGGTGTCTCGAGTTGCCGTTGGGCCGCAAAATGCCCTTTTTGGCCTCCCCGACTCGGCTAGTGAAGGCTAATGCTGTTATTCGGGCCCTTGAGCGGGAGACGGTCTCGATCCCTCCTGGGGCGCAAATGCTTGTGCCCTTGCGCCTTAGGAGGCAACTTAATCGAAACGTCACTTAGAGCGGTGTTCTTTTAACAACGGCCAACAAGGTCAGTCGTAGCCTTATGTTAGTGGGGGCTCAAACGATCGTCAGGGGCGACCAGCAACCCTTTATTCAAATTTTAAACACGCGTCTGGGACCCATAATCACACAAGAGGGCACGGTTCTGGCTCATGCTTCGCCAGTGGATGAACAGCCCGTGGAAGTGAACTCCGCGAGATTAGTCGCAGCTGCGGAGCAGAGAGAGAGCGGCGATGATGCCTGGGTCAACACTCTGTGTGCCGAGAGCCCTGATTTGTCCAAGGATCAGAGGTCTGCGTTACGTGCCCTTCTTCTTGAATTCTCGGACATCTTCAGTAAGTCTAAATATGATATTGGCCGCACGTCCTTGGTACACCATCATATTGAGACGGGCGATGCGGCCCCATCTGGGGCTTTAATATTGGTCGGCTGGGACGGCTGAGTTTCACAAAGGGGGGGTGATGTAGGGACGTAAGTAGCGTCCCTACGGGTGTACGCAGGAAGCACCCACGATTTATATGAGTGAGCGCACGTACCTCTGCACGGAGTCGACGGAGACGTTGCGGGAAGTGGGCCCTGCTTGGCGGGGCCCCGTCGCTGGAGTAGAGAGGGGATGTGCCGGCTCAGGGGAGTTAAGGGGACCCGGATGTGAGGGCCCAGGGACATGTGACGCTGGCTCCTGTTCCTCTTGAGAGATCGAGCAGGAGGCGTGGCCGGGGGTGGCCCGGGGCATGGCTCGAGGGAGGGAAGAGGAACGGGGGTGGAGCGGACGGCTCAGTCCAGCGTGGGAAGCGATCGGTGCGGCGGCGTGGGAAGCCGAGAGATCGGCTATAGGGACCGAGGAATAGGGGGACCTCTTCCATAGGGGTCTAGTATAGATGTCCCTTCCCAAGTGTTGCATTCTAGTGTTGTGTTAAGCGTTGTGTTATCCCTAGGCTAGCTGTTATAATAAAGTGTGGTGCCTCCAGATTTCTGCGTGTGCCTCGTCCGACACACTACACATGCGACAGGCTGGGTAGGCTCTGCACCACTAAATATCCAGAATTTGAAAGGGTTGCCCAATAGCTTACTCTTGGGTAACTGTTTACCTGCCAATTTGAAATGTAATTCTCATTAGACCCCATGGTGTAAAGGACCGTATCCAACCTTGTATCCACCCTATCTCTCTGGCTTCACAGATTATGTGTTATTATGAGTATTTATGGTAGCTGACTGGACGTGCATTTGCATGTACACCGTACAAATTGTATTACATGGTCTTACTATGTTGCTCTTCATAACAAGTCCATCATCTATAATTAGTGCACGGCAAAATGTAAATTACAGTGCACAAAGGCACCAACACAATGGGCAAGGGCTTCAGTAAGCCACGTAAAAGACTCGTGTCGTTAACTTGTGTTGTAACATCTCAAATGTACATTGTGAGGCCCAGAGATTCGTAATTGGCCATTTATTATCTCGACATAAACGGGTAAAATATAAATGCGCTTATTGTATTAAACACGTTTCTTTATTTCATAGAATATTACAATCCTGTGTACCGCATGAATATTGTTAAACTACCCTGAATCCCATCCCTCTAAAATGTTATGCCTCAGCATAGCTATATCACTTAATAAAATACGTGTTAGTTTGTATAGATACAATACAACATGAAAATATTGAAATGTAATGTTCTCTCTTTGCCCACAGCATAAAAAAATGTGTGTTTATTATTGGGTATCAATGGAATAAAAAACATTATACTCCTTGCTGTATGTCGAAGGGTTCACACACATCACAACCAATTTACTTTACAGATGCAGTTACACGTGCATAATAATATGCATGAGAATAGAGAAATGGTTGCTATGTGACACTCTTTGCCTAGCCCCTGCCGAAGACACCGTGTGCTGAAATAGTGAATACCTGAAGGACTCTACAATGACCCGGTTAAGATGACCCTGTTAACATGATCTACCCACTTCTGTGAAGTTGTCTCGGACATTTTAAATTACACCAACAGTGTGGGACCAGGTGTGCACAAACGTAACTCACGATCACTAACGAATGCACACGAACTCAACAAAAACTAAAATCACGATAATGGAGGCACATTATAAGTGACTTTATTATTTATGCAGGGAGATGGAATAAATTCAAATGTTGTATAAATATTGCACGGGTGTGTGCATCGGTACATGCCCGATTCACAAATACAAAAAGAGGCATCATCACACCGATGTACTTTGATGCTATTATCTGGCCCAATAACCTCAATGTAAAGCTATAGCTGTTGCCCTGCAGTCCACATCAACATTGGCCGTACGAAAAAGTACATGGAAGGCATGCCGTATTGCGTGTGTGGTATACACATACTGTATTAGTAACACGGTTATGAATGCTTCGTGTTTAGTACTGCCACTTAAATCGAAAGCTTCCTCCATATGTAAATATACAATAGCAATCCCAATAATAACTGAATCAGATGCTAAACATTTAACTCGGGTAAACATTTTACGTGATGCCAAAGTAGCTGTTAATCTTTGAAACAGAAGAGGATTAAATAAATTCTAAAATGTGATAATTTGTGAACTATTTCATTATAAACTTCGAATTAGCATTAAAAAAACTTAAGACAAAATGGATTTATAGGCACAGGATATGTCTACGGCAGATTACATAATTTCTTTTTAAACTAATCTGTGTCAGAAATGAAAATAACACCGTGGTCACTACGCAACACTGTGGATTTGGGAGGCATCATCTGGTCCAACCCATGTGAGACTAGGCTCTAAGGAAAGCTGTCTCAGGTGTGAACCAATCAACTTCAAGGACAGTGCAGATTATCAGAGTTATGTCTTTTGTTTGTATTATGACTGCAGGTATTGCGGTCTATGCAAACATGACTCCTTGTAAAAAGGTGTTAGATTTTATGTCGCTATTTCATTATACCTGATGATGATTGCTTGTGTTGCAATCGAAACGTCGTATGCTATTATTTAATTTAATTTATTATTTTATCTTTAGACGTGACTTAACCGAAAGAAACAAATAATTCCTGCAGTCACGAAAGTTCTAAAATTAAGATTGGGTAAAAAAACAATTATCAAACGAGAACATTTTACAAAACAAGATAATGTATAAAGTTCACCCGCAGGGGACCCTATTTCTGCTATGCACATGTCACTTTTATCATCTGCAAAGCGATTTTACTTAGTTTTCTTAATAAATGTTTAAATATATTAAATTGTTGCTGCTGTTTGCATTGTTGTTAATTTGCACAAGCTGAGAGAGAGCGACATGGGAACAAAACACCTCACTGCCATGTACCTCATGTATGCATGGGTATGTGATCAAGAAAGCTGACTTGACTTGACTTCAATAAGCTACAGTTTAATGCAGCAGTGTTGGACTCATTGCCTCCCGTAAGGTATATTGCCAGACCCAAATGATCAAGTTTGTATATACAGGAAAACCGTTCGGCTCTGCAAGGTTTACCTAATTTGTTGTTTTCCAGAACACGGGGATGATATTCTGGCTCGACACGGTTTGACGCCACGAAGATTCTAATCTCCGCGTCGAAAGGTAGTGTCGTGAGAGTACTGCATCCGTTGAAAGGTGTGAACAAATCGACTGTGAGAACGATTTATTTACCATGAATGTTTGCATGTGTGTATGTTTTTCGTATGGTAATGTAACACACTCAATGAGCACAACAGTGTAATGCAAACGTGTACATTGCAGCATGCATCTAGCCATCCACTCGTGGAGAACGTTATACGGGAAAACAAAGAGTGTACACACGTACAAGCAATGGAGAGTGACTCAGCATATTTTAGAACAATAATGACAGAACTCAGAATAGTAAAACAAAGATAAAGGGGGTGATAATTTCGGGCCCAGGAACACAATCCTATTTTCCCCATAAGGCCTATTATTTGTCTAACGCATTTTTGCCCAACACGGAATTTTCCAGGAACGTAACCCTCACGTCCATCGAGGTCTGCCTGTACACTAGCAGAGATGAAGGAAATATTTATCTAACGGTGTTTTATGACTTCACAAGGTGTCTGCAATGATCAGAGTATGCTTCCAGGCAAGTCCGTGATAAATTATTTTAAAACAAACGACGCAAAGGGTTTAAAATTGTAGATTTAATCACAAAATGTGCGATGCGAATGCTATTGAATTGAAATAACATTCATAAACAAACAAACAAAAACTCCCTGTGTGTGCAGTGTAATGTGTTGGATTAATGTCCATCAATGTTTATCTTTTCAGCTTCAGACCTATTAACACTCTAAACATCATATCTACAGAAGGCACAATGTCAGAAATGAATTCAGCTTCAAGAAAATGGGTATTTCTTACCCTACTATTTGTTTCAATTACTATTATTCTGGCATCAGTTTTGATTCACCAGCATGTAAATGCAAACTTTCCCAAGAAGTGCCCAAATAAATTTGTTCTAAATGGCATTAAACCCGATTACAAGGCAATAGAAATATTTTCCGACCTAACGCCAACAGAATTGACCACTGTCAAGGACTTTCTGGTGAGCCATAAGGACCTCAATATTGTTGCTTCAGAAGCCACCGTGAACAGCAACTACATCTACATGATAGAGCTCTACAACCCAGACAAAAAGGAAGCTTTGCATTACTTGGACCATGGAGGAGCCAAGCCTGCTCGAGTTGCTAAGGCAGTGGTTTTCCGCGGAGCTGACGTTCAGCCATCGATTGCAGAATATCTGATAGGCCCACTTCCGAATCCCACCTGGTACCGGCCACACAGTCCATCAACGAGGAAACACGTTATTAATTTTAGCTCTCGGCCAACGACAATCCCGGAATACACGGCTCTGTACACATATTTTTTACCAAAAGCTTTAGAAAAAGTGAACCATATTTTGGAGGAGAGTTATGGCTATACATATCATAACTGTACAAAAAAATGCCTAACCGTTGGGGAAGTGGCACCAAAAGGATTGAAGTCAGGAGAAAGGCGGTCCTGGGTAATGCTTCTCCGACAATTGGAAGGGTTTTACCTGCACCCAGTAGGCTTTCACGTTTTGATAAATCATGAAAGCTCAAACATCGCAAAATGGGCAGTGGAGAAGGTTTACTACCATGGCCAGTATTTTGTAAGCATCGAAGAGCTAATCACAAAATATGACAAAGGTTCTATTACTAAGATAAAGCTGAGTGACAGCAGTCGAGAATCATCGGGATATAATCGTCGCGGAGCCTTCAGAGCAGACACGTCTCAGACGGGACCGCGGCAGTTCGAGCCCGAGGGCCACCGGTACCGGGTTGATGGGAACTTTGTGCAGTATATGCCCTGGACGTTCGCTTTCAGAATCTCTTACATGGGGCTTCAGATATTTGACATCAAGTACAACGGTGAGAGAATTGTCTATGAGATGGGCCTCCAAGATGTCGTCTCATACTATACTGGCAACGATCCGATAGGAAGCTTATTCAGAGCCATGGACTCAGGTTGGCACTTTGGTGCCGACAATTTTGAGCTTGTGAAGGGGATCGACTGCCCGCACACTGCCACGTACCTGGACACATATCACTTTGTGAACTCAGAGAAGCCGCTGAAATACCCGAACTCCATCTGCATTTTCGAGCACAACACAGGAGTGCCATTGCGTCGACACTTGGAGGACGAAGACCGAAGAGGCTACTCGTTCTATGGTGGCTTGGTCAACTATGTACTCGTGATTAGGAGTGTCAACACAGTATACAACTACGATTACGTCGTGGACTATATTTTCTACCAGAATGGAGTAATTGAAGCAAAGATTCACCCCACTGGGTACCTCGTGGCGACGTATTTCCTTGGGGATGGACTCAAGTATGGCAACAAATTATTTGACCACGTCCTTGGCAATGTGCACACGCACATGATAAACTACAAACTGGACATGGATATAGTGGGTGAGTTTATTTTCATCAATATTATCCATGCATGTATCGTTTTACAAAACTGCTCGCATAGGTTTAATCCATGATTGTGTTCATATGTTGAAAGTGATTAAATGGCATTTACGTTAGAACAGCATTGTATTGTCACTTGTTTTTCTGAACAATTATTCTATTTTCTGTAGAGTACCATTAAAATGAGTGGACGTATAATATAGATAGAGTAAATATTATCTGCAACCCTCTTATCCGCAAATCCTATTATCAGCAACCCAACATTAAATTCACACAAACTACTTTTGTACATCGGTCAACTCTTTAATTTATCTGAACATTTGTACTGAAAATAGGATCTACCCATTATAGATTGTGATGAGAACTAATTGCATTATATTCCTGTATTTTTCTTTTTATGAATGGATAAGAGGAACGTGGATGTGGTTGCTGGCAGATGCTAAACACATCCTAATATCTACGATGTCCTATGGATGAGAGAATAACGATGATGATGTAAATGCCAACAATGATTATTATCATGTTCTAGATGATGATGGACAGTAGGGCATTAAACAAAGCAGTTCAAAAGCAAAGTTTGCCAGCAGTTCATGATGTTGCCCATGCACCGTTATCCAAAGTGTTTAAAGGCAGTGAAATGTGTAGGTATTCGAGGAATGTCTGCAGTTGAGGAAGTAATGTGTATGTAGTGGTGGTGCGCGCTGACAAGGAGGGGGCGTGTGTGTGCGCGCGCTGGGCGTGGCTACATCGAGTGTGGGGGTGTTGACGCACGCCGACAGTGATGGATCACGGGGCGGCGCTGGGTGCGTGGTTGTGCGCGCAGACACGATATGGGAAACAGGATCGTGGGCAGCGTGCTGAGTGATTGGTCAACTGGGGTGTGTGCTCTCAGCGACGTCCACATGAAGGACTATAAAGGGGGACGCGCAGGAGCACTCGGGGAGTTATTACCAGCTGAAGATCGAAGACGGAGTTGAAGAGATAGGGCCCTGAGACCCCTAGCCCCGCTGTCCTTGTAAGGGCCGGGACCCTGTGCGGTTCAGAGGCGAGGCTGTGGGACCCGAGGCCTGGCGTCCATGTGGGACCAGGCTGTGGGATCCAGAGTCGAGACTAATAACCCAGCCGGGTGGATTCCGAGAAGCTACGGGGCGTAAGAGCCCGTGCGAGTGTAGCCAGGGGAACCTCGTGGGTTATGTGGCAGTTGCCACCCGTGTAACAGTTTGGTGTTAATAAAAAGGTGTGCTACCCGTCAGAGTCGTCTCCCGCCAAGTTACTACTTTACAACTGGCGTCAGAAGTAAACCTGTCTTCACAAACGATGGATACCAGGAAGACTACCCGTACCCACGACCGAGATCGGGAAGACGACGACGTACCGGAGCCACAAGCATCGGGAGGCGAGGAAGATGAGATGCCGCTGATGCAGCACCTCGCGGCGATGGACGACGCTCCGCTCGCCTCCAACACCGGCCTTCAGGAAGCACACTCCCGCCTGGCGGAGTTGTTGCTCGCCGCCGCTTCGATTTTGTCCAAAATCACGGCTTCAGGAGGCGGGAAGGCGACTATGAGGGTGGAGGAGGGAGCGCGGCCGCCGGGATCCCGCCAGAACGCGCTTCGCGCCAAAAGTTTTAAAATTAGCGCCATTTTCGAGGGTCCACCAGCAATTGGCGGGAAGCGTGGACACCACGTGCTCGGGGACCTCCACTCCACACAGCCCGCGTCATTGGCGCGCGCCGAGACTCTCCACCATGCGCCTGCCGACGGAGCCGACATTTTCATTGACTACAGCGGTGCGCGGGAAAAGCATTCATCGGGGGACGACGACCAGGTCTTCCAACAGAGACTGCCCGCGCTCACGGCGTTCAAGGCGGACGGGGGCGACTGGGGGGCCTTCCAACAAAGGTTCCTCGCGCATCAGGAGATGTCGGGGTGGTCCGACACCACTGCCCTACGCGCGCTGCCGGCGATGCTCGACGACGACGCACTTGCGGCCTTCACATCCGCCCCAAGGTCGTCCCGCTCAACGCTCCAGGCCGCGCTACATCTCATGGCTAAGGTGTTCGGACCGCCCTCGACCTGTCGCCACCAGTTTTACGAACGGCGTAAGGTGGATGGAGAAACTACGCTCGCCTATCGCACATCGCTGCTCGCCCTGGCGGACGCCGCCTTTCCACGCATGGACAAGGAGGGGAAGGACGCCATGGTGACAGAGCAGCTGCTGGCGTTGGCTCACGGTCTGGGAGTGCCCATAAATACGGCCGACGAGATGGACATCTGCTCCTTGGGGGTGGCGACAAGTATTCACGCACACGAGGTCCTCAAGCGAAAGCGGACGGTCATCTGTGCATCGGCGGGGATTGCGACACCAGCCGCGACGGGCGCCGAGCCTCAGACTGCTACGGTTCGGGAGGAGGCCTTCACCGTCTCAAGACCGGGGGAGTGGAGATCGGGAGGTCGTTCGCCCGTACGATCCCGCAAGCTGGAGCAACCGAAACCTACGACGTCCATGGTCTTGTGTTACAACTGCGGCCTCCGGGGTCACTTTGCGTCCGGGTGCCGGGCTCCGCGTCAGCGCGCCACGGGACCACGTCCGGACGACGACCAAGGCCCCAAGTCATCCCAGCAAACCCCGGCAAGTCGCGGCACCCCACACCCTCGGTCCACATACACGGCACACTCGGGTCGCCGCTTCGCGGTGGGGGGACCGCGTATGGGTACCGGGGATTCGGTTCGGCGAGGGGGGTTCGTACACGGGCCGGGGGCAGTCGAATGGTCAGAGTTGGCCCACAGGATAGTGGCTGCGTCGGCCGGGTCGTCCGTAGTAACGGGGTTTATTGACGGGGTCGAGGTCCGGGTGCTGGTGGACACGGGTGCGTCGGCCACCATCATTTCGGACCTTATTTATAACATCCTTCCCGTCCAATGCCGACCCCTTCTCCCGGTGGACGTACCGTTTTACGCGGCGAACGGGGGATCTTTGGGAATAATCGGACAGATTCGGGCCACTATTTTTATTGGTGATATCAAATTGGCGGGTCCCATTTTTGTGTCATCGTCTCTGGCAGTCCCTTGTTTACTGGGCACGGACTTTTTGGCTAAAATGCCCATTAAAATTCTCATTGATCAGGCCTGCATTGAACTTCCATCGGGTCGGCGGGTTGCATTTTTAACGAGTCCTACCAAAATACGCACGGTTTGTGCAACGGTTCAGGCGCTGGCAACTCAGACTGTGCGGGTGCCCCCGGGATCGCAAATGTTGGTACCCCTTCGGTTGTGAAAACCCCTCGGGATCGACGCGGGGGACCAGGGTGTCCTGTTAGGGCCATCTAACAGAGCTGTTGGGGGCCTCGACTTAGCAGTAGCTCAGACCATGGTGCGGGCGGACAGAGATCCGTTCGTGATGGTTCTGAATACGGGGTCGCGGACGGCTGTAATTACTCAGGGCACGGTGCTGGCTCACGCGGCGCCGCTACCCGTCGACGAACGGCTCGTTGCGCATGCCGACTCCAGCCTCGATACACACCCTCCATCGGAAGAGGGGACAGAATGGCTTGACTCGTTGTGTGCTGGGTCTAGTGACTTGTCTAGTGTGCAGTTGGGAGCGTTGAGGGGCCTGCTACTCGAATTCGCCGACATCTTTAGCAGACATAAGTACGATATTGGCTGCACGGATTTGTTGCGCCACCACATAGCGACCGGTGATGCGGCCCCTATTCGGCAAAATTCCTTCCAGCTCAGCCCAGCCGAGAAGGAACATGTGAGATCGGCTGTTAATGACATGCTGGCTGCCGACATCATTTCGCCCTCTTCCAGTCCGTGGGGGGCTCCCATCGTCCTTGTTAAGAAACAGGACGGGTCCTTGCGGTTTTGTGTGGATTTTCGCCGCCTAAATAAAATCTTTATGGCCGACGCGTATCCACTACCCAGGATGGATGAGTCGCTGGATGCCTTGGCGGGAGCACAGTATTTTTCGACGCTTGACCTGCTTTCAGGATTTTGGCAATTGCCCCTCAATGAGGAATCAAAACCTAAGACCGCTTTCCGGACACCAGGAGGCCTATTTGAATTCAATCGATTGCCCATGGGCTTACATTCCGCTCCCGCCACGTTCCAGAGGCTCATGGAATTGGTTTTGTCAGGACTCCAATGGGACACCTGTTTGATCTACCTCGATGATATCATCGTTTTCAGCCGGACTTTCGAGGAGCACCTCCAGCGCTTGAGAGGGGTGTTCCTCAGGATGCGTTCCGCTAAATTAAAATTTAAACCCGCGAAATGTCACCTGCTCCGGGAATCGGTCCGGTACTTGGGCCATATTGTTGGCCGTTCAGGGATCTCCACAGACCCTGCTAAAACGCACTGTGTCAGCTCATGGCCAACGCCAACCTCAGTCACTGAAGTCCGCAGCTTCATAGGATTCGCCTCCTACTACCGCCGTTTTGTCGAACATTTTGCCACCATTGCCAGGCCTGTACACGCTTTGACGGCTAAAGGGGTAAGGTTTCACTGGGGCTCAGATGAGGAGGCTGCGTTCTGCTCCCTTCGGGACGCCTTGGTGCGAGCTCCCCCCTTGTGTTACCCCGATTTCACGCAACCGTTTCTGCTTGACACAGATGCCAGTAACACGGGTATCGGGGGAGTGCTCTCACAGGTGGTCGGGGGGGTCGAACGGGTGGTCGCCTACGGTAGTAGAGTTCTGTCACCTGCGGAACAACGCTACTGTGTGACTCATCATGAATTGCTAGCGATCGTTTTTTTTATACAGCAATTCAGACCGTATCTCTACGGACGTCATTTTACTGTTCGTACGCAATGCGGGTGGTGCAACCCTCCGGCCAATTGTCCCGATGGCTGGAGGTCCTCCAAGACTACCAGTTCACGACGATTTACCGAAAGGGATTGCGGCACTCGAATGCGGATGCCTTGTCGCGGTTGCCGCCTCGCTCGGAATGCGCGTGTCTTCTGGGATCGGCGCGGTGTAAACCCCCTGTCGCCGCTCGCGCGGAAGTTTTGCTCGCCGCCACTGATGCTCCAGAGGTCGTTTTGCCCGCCGCTCCTACGGGCGGGGACTCGTTACTCGCGTTACCTGTTATCGAGTGGGGCCGTCTCCAAATGGCCGACAGCTCCCTACTCACGCTGCGGCGGAAGGCGGAGGCTCCCGAGGGGGGGGAGACGCGGGTCAGTTCATGGGTGGTCAGACAGGGCCTCCTGATGAAGTGGGACAATATGTCCCGGCGCCATACGCTCGTTGTGCCATCTGCTTTACGGGGGAGGGTCGTTCTGGCTGCTCACGAACGCCTCATGCATTTGGGATTTCACAAAACGCTTGCCCTACTCCAACTGGACTATTATTGGCCGGGTATGGGGAGCGACGTGGAGAACATCCTCAAGGGATGTGTGGGGTGCGCTCGAAGGAAACCGCCACAGATAGCGGCTAATCCACCGCTACAATCCATTCAGGTTTCGCGCACGAACGAATTGGTTGCGCTCGACATTTTGGGGCCCTTTCCCGCTACACCTAGGGGTAACAAATACCTGCTGGTCGGCGTAGAATACTTCACCCGATGGCCTATGGTGTGGCCACTCGCCAACCAGTCGGCTGCGGCGGTGGCGGACGCCTTTGTCCAGGGCTATGTTTTGGACAAAGGCGCCCCAGAACGCTTGCTGACGGACCAAGGAAAGAATTTTTCGAGCGTTTTGTTGCGCGAGGTGTGCGACCTGTTGGGTACAAAAAAAGTGCGTACCTCCCCGTACCACCCGCAGACTGATGGAATGGTTGAACGTCTAAACAGAACGATTACTTCTATGCTGTGCCAACAGGTCTGCAACGATCAGGTTGATTGGGACTTGCAGGTACCCGGGGTACTCGCGGCCTATCGAATGGCCCCCCATGCGGCAACGGGGTTTTCCCCATTTTTTCTCATGTATGGGCGGGAGGCTGATCCGCCTATGGATGTCCAACTGGGGATTTCCCAGCCACGTGCGAAATCCAAATTGGCCGACCACATCAAATTTAATATCGCCAAGCTGGCTGAAGCGCGAGAGGCTGCAAGGTTGAATTCGAGGTCGCGCCAGGTCGCTAACGAAAGGTTGAACGGAAAGTGTATACGCACGATTGGAAAACAGGCGATAAGGCCTGGCTGCATTGTCCACATGCACCGTTGGCCACGTCCCCTAAGTTGTTGAGACCATGGAGGGGACCTGTGGAAATCGTGCGTATTGCGCGACCCCAGTGTATCCAGATTAAATGGGGAAAACGCCGTTGGTACGTACACCCCTCCCGGCTGAAACCTTTCACGGAAACCCATGACCTCCCTTTGTGCCGTAACGACCGAGCATGTGATGGGGCCGTCGGCTCGGGGTGGGAGGTGTCGCAGTCTGATCCTCACGTGTCTCCGCCTGACCTACTCCCAGGTGTCGCGGACCTGACGGCTGCTGACCACCGAGAGCCGGAATCCCGAGGCGCGCACGGATCTACAATACCTGCCCCGTGCCTCCCTGGACTGCCGGCGCCACCGGACGGTCAACCGCGTCTGGTTCCATACGACGGACCGGCCAGGCGGACTCGTGCTAAGACCAGCCACTTTTCTTGAGGGGGGGGCCCGAGATTGCGGCTCGGCGCCACGTTCCCCTTCTGCCCGATACATTGCCCCGTTCAAGGGGTGGTCGGAAATGAAGGGACGCTGCACGAGTCATTTTTGTATATACGTTTATTGTTGTCGCTCGCCGCTTGTACATATTGTTCTGTTGTTGCGGTGATATGCTCTGCTTATGGATGGCGGAGTTCTTATTGTGTTGTGTTGTTGTGATTGTTGTTGGTGTTACGGTGCACACACTAATTGGGGAGGGAAATAAAAAAATTTTAGCAGCCGGGTCGGCTGCGAGCTATGTGGTAGGGGGTGATGTAGTGGTGGTGCGCGCTGACAAGGAGGGGGCGTGTGTGTGCGCGCGCTGGGCGTGGCTACATCGAGTGTGGGGGTGTTGACGCACGCCGACAGTGATGGATCACGGGGCGGCGCTGGGTGCGTGGTTGTGCGCGCAGACACGATATGGGAAACAGGATCGTGGGCAGCGTGCTGAGTGATTGGTCAACTGGGGTGTGTGCTCTCAGCGACGTCCGCATGAAGGACTATAAAGGGGGACGCGCAGGAGCACTCGGGGAGTTATTACCAGCTGAAGATCGAAGACGGAGTTGAAGAGATAGGGCCCTGAGACCCCTAGCCCCGCTGTCCTTGTAAGGGCCGGGACCCTGTGCGGTTCAGAGGCGAGGCTGTGGGACGCGATGCCTGGCGTCCATGTGGGACCAGGCTGTGGGATCCAGAGTCGAGACTAATAACCCAGCCGGGTGGATTCCGAGAAGCTACGGGGCGTAAGAGCCCGTGCGAGCGTAGCCAGGGGAACCTCGTGGGTTATGTGGCAGTTGCCACCCGTGTAACAGTTTGGTGTTAATAAAAAGGTGTGCTACCCGTCAGAGTCGTCTCCCGCCAAGTTACTACTTTACATGTATACTACAGGGGTTGTGATAAGGGGGTCAATTAATATGTTAACAGGGCAAATGTCAGTATTTATGTAATAATAGGATTTTTCCCCTTTTTTCTGGCAACAAAACTGAAACCTTTTTACAAGGATTCATGTCTGCATTAACCACAATACTTGCAGTCAAAATGCAAACAAAAAAACACTATGATAATATATGCATTGTGCTTGAAACTGATTGGTCCACATCAAGGGACGGCTTTCTTTTGAGCCTCGACCCAATTGGTGCTCGACCAAAGGACCCCAAAAGGCATACAGCTCAAAGACAATGCACTATCAGTACCAAAATATTATTATTATATTTTGGTAATGGCAAAAGAGGTCTAATGTTGAAGTATTTATGTATTTCACAAAATTTCAGTATTTATGGATTTCACAAACCGCTTTGGGTAAGTAGTGAGCTTAATTTAATTGTTGCAAGAAAGGTGCTTAAAGCAAAAGTAATGGCTTTTTTACGGTACAAGTCATAGAAAAGGACTTCAACTAATTGCAAAACAAGTGATAGCATTAGCCATGGTGATCTCTCGCTCTCTCTCTTGATGTAGTTCGATCTTGTTTCCCCCCAAATGTTTCTAAATTTGCTTTCATATCATGAGATGAAGAATCCATTATACAATTCTGCAGACGCAGTGGACCCGGTGTGTTAGAGAGTTGCTAAGTAAGAGATTTAGTTTTACAGGCCTTCTCCAAAAAATATATTTCAAGGGCCCTTGTTACCCTTTACACAGTATGGGTCGCATTTTCTCATAATCCTGCTATGCCTTTGTCGCCTCAAAGTTAAACTGATCGTTCAAATTCTCAGAACTAGAAACCAACTAGATTTCAACTCAGGATCTCAGCAGTGTTGATTCAGTACTCAGTTCTCTGAGCCACCTCAATTTTTATTCCATCCTGAATGCATAAAAAATACTTTACCTTTTACACTTACACCTGGTTTCCTCACAATATATATTGGTCTCCTGTACAAAACAAATATATTAAGTGGTGTATATTGAACAATAGCACCATGGGTATACATTAACTTACCTTCAGATTACACGGTAACGCCTCTTCAAACTTAAATAAGTAATATTGAAAAACACTTTTTAATGAAATGTACTAGTAATGGCAGAACTCCACGACTCCAGGAAGTGGTCCCGAAGCTTGCCATAGCGTAAGGGACCGTAGCCAATTACAGCCAACGTCAGTTGACTATGGACAATTAGACCCAAGTCGAAACATAATATGTAAAAAATGTGTAAAAAAATATATATTTTTTAATGATACAATATAGTATTGTCATCAGTTTGACATAAGTATACCAAGTTTGCAGTCGATACCGCATTGGGAAGTGGGTTAAAATTGAGTTCCAAGATTTGAGGATACAATGACAACAACAATGACAACAACAGAGTGAGTTAAAAGAAAGCGTGTAAAAAAACAGATCACCATCACACGTCACTGCGTACTCAGTACACTGCGTACACAGTACACTGCGTATATAAACAATGACCTGCTGCTTACCGTTTGCCCCACAGGCACAAGCAACAGCTTTAAGACTGTGAGCCTGCAGCTTGAGAACACGACGGTCGTTTGGAGCCCAGAGCATGCCAAGGTCATGCCCAGCGTGAAGCACGACCTCAAGGAGACAGAGTCGGAGGCAGCCTTCAAGTTCGACGTCAGACTTCCATACCTAGTGTTCTTTAACGAGAACGCCTTAAACAAGTGGGGCACACAGCGTGGTTATCGCGTGCAGGTCACGAGCCACGGAAACCCCCTGTTGCCAGAGGATTACGAAGAGGAGAAAAGCGTTGCATGGAGCAGGTATAGATATATTTTTTTAAAGCAAAGCACAGTTGAATCATCGTGGTCATCACCCGTGATCAATCAACCGCCGAGGTGAAGGTTTTTTCCAAGTCAGTGATGTGATTGAACAATATCTTGTTCCTGCACATAAGCTGATTTCGTCACTCAATTTCTGCAGTGAATGTACTATTACAGTCCGGTATAACGTAGAATAGGTTTTCCCCCTTTTTCATAGTATAACGTGTAAATAAAAAAACTCATTTTATATACATCCTCATCTGCAACCGAAATTATCTGTAAATCAATTAAAAACTCTCATCCTATTATCTGCAGAACAACCATTATTATTACTACCCATGATTCTGTAGATACAGTGAAAAGAAAGACTCTAAGGTTACCAGAATCTTCCGAGAATCCATGACAATCTTGAATGAGGGTCATGAGCAGTCTAGGGAACAGATGTAGCCCACAAAAATAGAGCGTATTTTTTTCACGATGCCACCTAGAGAGGAAATAGGGGCAACCCAGCTTTGCTTTCGCATGAGATTCGCGAATGAGATCAAAGTTAGGCGCGAAAGAAGATGACCGGAAATATCATAACGTGCAGATCATAGAGACGTCTTTATAACAGCTATACTATAATCGCAAAACCATCCAGTGGGAGGAAGACACAACGCATATTGATCGTAGATCATAGAGACGTCTTTATAATAGCAACATAATAGCAAAATCGTCCAGCGGGATGACACAATGCATATTGATCGAAGATAATTGATTCTTACACGTGTGATTTTATGCATTTACGACCCATTTTTATACGGTAGGAATATATGGGCTCATCACTTCAGCTATACAAGGCATGTAACGATTTATAAATGTTGTGATTAAAATCAATTCTTAGCCTCCCAATACATGTGTAATGCGAGCGTATGTGGGGTTTCACCGCCCCAGCCCCTAAGCCAATCGGGCGCCATGAAGCATCGGGAGCAGGGTCTAAGGGCAGAGTCAGGAGGCGTTAAGGGAGGGGTATTATCTGGAAGGTTCTTAAGGGGTGTGGCGAAGGGCGGAGTCTGGGTGATGTAGAAAGGGGATATAAGGGGGAGCCGGAAGGGGCTCGGGGTCAGTTGGTGGGAGCTGGAAGCTGGGCCACGTCGGGACTCTCCGCGAGCCATCGGCCACGTGGAGACAGCTCCCAGCGCGCCGTCTGCCAGCGGTGTGTGGGAGCGGGGGAAGCGCGAGACTGGCGCGGGAGCGGGATGTCAGTTCTGCGACGTGCCGCGGAGTGATCGGAACGCGAGCTGTCCATAACGAAGAAATAAAGATACGGAGACACAGTCGCTTGTCGTCGACCCGTTTTATTACAATTGGGGTCAGAAGTGGTTCTTGACATGTCCAAGCATCTCAAGAAAAAAATTCCGCCTACGCCATCTTCCGACGACGACGACGACGAGCTCACCCAGGACCTGGCGGTCCCGGGAGCGGGGGGTCCAGACGGGGCGGCTACGGGCGGCTCTGCTAGGGCGCAAGAGGGGGTTGCCGGGCCATCTTCTTCCCCGGGTGCTGACGATGGCTGGCGGCACGTGGCAGAGCAAACCGACTCGCTGCGTGCCGTACTGCTCAACTTGGTGATGCTCATCGCGCCAACGACAGCGCCGGGACGTCCGCATGGTGCGCTTCCGAGTGGGGATGATTCACTCGGGCACGAATCTGCCGCCATTGCGGCGTCTGCTGGGCTTCCCGCCATTGCAGCCACGCGGCAGGACGACGCCATCTTGGGCGGGTCCGCGGGCGCGCGGCAGGAAGCCGCCATTTTGATGGCACCGCGTGAAACGCCAGCGTGGGGGTTGGACCTGATGGGGGCAGCGACGCGGGGCGCAGCCATCGTCTTCCGAGCTTGAAAGAATTCAGCGCAGGAGGGAACTAGAGCGCTTTCGCGTGGCACTTTGAGTCCGCTTTTCGCTCCGTTCGGTGGACGGACGGGGAGGCGTTGGAGGCCTTGCCTACGCTCCTCGACGATGTTTCTCTCGCGGTGTTCCGCTCCATTCCTGCTGAAAAGAAGGCGACACTACGGGAGGCCTTTGCCAAAATGGCTGAAGTGTACGAACCTCCGTCCGATACTCACCGAAAGTTCGTGCAGCGGCAGTGTGGCCCGGAGGAATCTCCCATCGCCTACCGTGGCGCCCTGGTGGCGCTCGCGATGGCTGCCTACCCGGACGCCAAGCCCGATATGCTCGAACCACTTTATTCTCGGCAAGATGTTGGAGTTGTCTAAGGACCTCGCCATCCTGATACCAGTGTGTGGCCATTAGCCGCTTACTTCCTGGTTGGCCGCCAAGTGCCTCGACGCCCAGTTTAACTTGCACCGTTGAGCGCAGATGGCCGCTTGGACGGGCGACCCTGCCGTGGATGGCAAACCTACAGGATGGGCGCCATCACGAGTCGTCCGCGCTCCGGACGACGTGGGGACCAACGACCTCGCGGTCGCGGCGGGCCACTGGGTTCCGAGGAGGGGGACTGCGGCGCGCTCGGGCGCTTTGTCGGTGCCGCTCCGGGACGTCAGGGGGGGCCGACCGGCGAGCCGGCATGGCGTGCTTCCGATGTGGCCGGCTGGGCCACTTCGCGCGGGACTGCCGGAGTCGTCCCCGCCTTCTGCCTCTTCAAGGATCCCCGCCGCTGCAGCCGCCATCGTTGTCAAGCTGTGACCCTAGCCAAGCAATTTGGTATGTATCAGACACCCAGCAAGCTCTGTCACCTCATGCATGTTCGACCGCGCATAATTCGTATGTCCGTGCCTCCGATGGGGCCGTCGGTGGTTCGCCTCGTACGGTTACCCAATGGAGAAAGTTAGCTCGTCGCGTGATAGCGGCCGCGACAGGGTCTTCTACGGTGCCGGGCTCTATTCAAGGGGTGGACGTGCGGATATTGGTGGATACGGGCGTGTCGGCCACTATCATCTCCAATGTCATATTCCACCTCCTGTCCATCCCCGCTTTGCGCGTGCGGCCGGCTTTTGATGCGTGTATTGCTGCCAATGGGGGTAGTATGGGCATTGTGGTTCAGGTCGAAGCGCATATTTCAATTGGGAATGTGGCGGCTTCGGGGACGGTCTTGATTTCCAGGTCACTGTGGCAGTGCCTTGTCTGTTGGGTACCGATTTTCTCGGTCGAATGCCGGTTAAGATCCTCGTGGATCAGGGCTGCATTGAGCTGCCTGCGGGACGTAAGATTTTTTTTGCCGTCTCCATTGACCCGTTCCGCGCCAGACGTTCCGGTGCAGGCGCTTGCCGATGTCTCGGTGGAAATTCCCCCAGGCTCACAAATGCTCGTCCCGTTGCGGTATCATAATCAATTTCGCGGGATAGACTCGGCGGCGGCGGGCATGCTGCTGTCCCCGTCTAATACTGCTACCAAGGGTCTAGCACTGGTTGTGGCCCAGACAATTGTTTGGCCGGGTCAGCCTCAGTTTTTGCAAGTTTTGAACGGGGGGGCGGAGGGCATGTTGGTTGCGGCCGGCACGGTTCTTGCTCATGCCACTACCGCATTTACGGTCCACGATGGGGATCGCCAGCAAGGGTTGGCGGCGGGGATTGAGCCTTCGGAAACGTCCGACGATCGCTGGATCGCCGAGTTATGTCAGGAAAATTCGTCCTTGGCCACACACCAACGGGACGCGTTTCGGGCGCTTTTGTCCGACTACTCTGACGTTTTCAGCAAAAACGATTTCGTACTGGGGTGCACTTCGCTGTTGTCCCATCACATTGATACTGGGGGGGCTAGCCCTATACGGATGAATCCACACCGGCTGAGTCCCTCGGAGAGGGACCACGTGCGCGGCGCGGTGGACGACAACCTAGCCGCTGACATTATCTCCCTGTTGAATAGTCCATGGGGCGCTCCCGTTGTCCTCCTGAAGAAAAAGGATGGCAGCCTCCGCTTCTGTGTTGATTTCCGGAAGCTTAATAAAGTTTTGGTGGTGGACGAGTACCCTCTGCCGCGAATGGATGACTCCCTCGATGCCTTGTTAGGGGCGCGATACTTTTCTACTCTCGATCTCTCCTCTGGCTTTTGGCAACTTCCCCTCGACGAGTCGTCGAGGGAAAAGACAGCGTTTCGTACGCCTCAGGGGCTGTTCCAATTTAACTGCCTTCCCATGGGACTGAACGCCGCTCCCGCCATGTTCCAGCGGTTGATGGAACTGGTGTTGACTGGGTTACAATGGGACGCGTGCCTGATATATTTAGACGACGTCATTGTGTTCAGTCATACGTTCCAAGAATACCTTCGGAGATTGCGGGCTGTGTTCGGCAGAATGCGTTCCGCGAATCTCATGTTCAAACCCAAAAAGTGCCACCTCTTGCAATGCTCCATGTGCCATTTGGAACATATTGTCAGCTCAGACGGTGTAGCCACAGACCCGGACAAGACGTTGTGCGTCCGGGACTGGCCGGCCCCCACCTCGGTGGGGGAGGTGCATCGGTTTGTCGGGTTTGCGTCCTACTACCGTCGATTCGTACACAGTTTCGCCACTATCGCAAGACTGCTGCACCTCCTCACGGCGAAAAATCAGAGGTTCAAGTGGGGACCGGAGGAGGAGAACGCGTTCCGCAACCTTCACGATTGATTGGCGACCACGCCAACACTTGATTACCCCAATTTCTCATTGCTCTTTATTCTGGACACGGATGCCAGTGATACGGGCATTGGCGCCATCCTGTCCCAGTGTAAGAACGGCGTAAAGTGCGTGGTGGTGTATGGGAGCCGCGTTCTCTCGTCGGCGGAAACCCGCTATTGTGTGACCCGTCGGGAATTGTTGGCGATTGTTAATTTCGTTCGCCAATATCGGCCATACCTATATGGCAGGAAATTCATGGTACGCATGGACCATGCCGCCTTGCAATATTCTTTGAAAATCGAACAGCCCTCTGGCCAGCTGTCGCAATGGTTGGAGACGCTGCAGGAATTCTCGTTTGACATTCAGTACCGTAAAGGTTCTCGTCATGGTAATGCGGACACACTCTCCCGCCTGCCACAGGTATCCTCTTGCTCGTGCGCCTCGGGTACTAATCGGTGCACGCGCCCCCCTCAGCCCCTTCGGCCGGTCATGTCCGCGATGGTGGATTCCGCGGACCCGACCTGTCCGGGGCTGGCTGACAGGGTGTTGAACTTGCCGCGTTTGGTGTAGGTCCGCGAGCAGCTGTTGGACGAATCACTGACCTCGTTGCGGAGTCAGGCGGGCAAGCCGCAGGGGTACTCGTCTACGGACACTTTTCCGAGAGCGGCCCTCCGGGACGGGTTGCTCATGTGGAGGGATGATTTGCTGGGCCATTGGCGCTTTGTGGTCCCGGTCGCGCTGCGGTATGAATTGGTTCAGGTACTGCACGCCGAGAAGTTGTTACATCTTGGCGTGCAGAAAACCTTGCTCACGTTACAATGAGACTATTTTTGGCATGGCATGACGGCTGACGTCGCTAAAGACATTCAAGCCTGTCCCGAGTGCGTTCGTCGGAAGTCACCGAGACAGCGTTATGTTCCTCACGGAGGCGCGGGATGCGGCACGGTTGGCCACGTCTAAAACCCAGGCCCATAACGAGCGGTGTGCTCAGCGCTCCCAACGCGCATCGCCATGGCATGTGGGGGACCGGGCCTGGCTCCATTGGCCACAGGTGCCGGTGGGGACCTCTCCTAAGCTGCACAGACCTTGGCAAGGTCCGGTGGAATTGATTGAGGTTCCTAGTCCCCAGTGCGCACGCATCTGGGTGGGGTCGCGCCGTTGGTATATCCACACTTCCCGGTTGAAGCCCTTCTTTGCCCCTCGCGTCGGTTCGTTATTCCCTAAAGTTGCCTTGCCGGTGTCTGATGTGTCTGGCGTGCCACCCCCCTTGCCTGTTCAACCTCCAAAGGCGCCTCTTGTACCTCCCACAGGCTCGGCGACCTTGAGCCAACCTGACGCAGGGGATCCTGCACCAGACAGGCCTCCACCAGCGGCGAGGGATGTCGATCCCACCACTCTTACAACCCCGCCTTGATTGCAGTCGGCGAGGGCCCCTATTCTCGCGAAGGATGGGCTGGCATCCCGTACCAGATCCAAGTCCCTTCCCTTCCATTGATTGCCGTTTTTTATTGTGTGTTGTTCTTTATTCCGATTGTCCGTTACGGTGTTACTGTCGCTCGCACATTGTTGTCTTGTCTTGATTTAGCCGGGACGGCCTAATCTTTTACACCGGGGGGGGGGGGGGGGGTGATGTAATGCGAGAATATGTGGGGTTTCGCCGCCCCAGCCCCTAAGCCAGTCGGGTGCCACGAAGCATCAGGGGCAGGGTCTAAGGGCGGAGCTGGGAGGCGTTAAGGGAGGGGTATTATCTGGAAGGTTCTTAAGGGGTGTGGCGAAGGGAAGGAGTCTGGGTGACGTGGAAAGGGGATATAAGGGGGAGCCAGAAGGGGCTCGGGGTCAGTTGGTGGGATCTGGAAGCTGGGCCACGTCGGGAGTCTCCTCGAACCATCGGCCACGTGGAGACAGCTCCCAGCGCGCCGTCTGCCAGCGGTGCGCGGGAGCGGGGGAAGCGTGAGAGCGGCGCGGGATCGGGACGTCAGTTCTACGGCGTGCCGCGGAGTGACCGAGAGAGCGGAACGCGAGCTGTCCATAACGAATAAATAAAGAGATGGGGACACTGTCCCTTGTCGTCGACGCGTTTTATTACACATGCATCAGATGTGTTTAAGAATATGTTTAACACTCATATTTTATGTCATCAGCAAATCAGCAGTCTGGTTATTCTTATCACCATTTAAATGTATGTCTTTGTTTCTCTGATGAAATAAGCTCATGTACAGGAGCTACAGTAGCTGGATTATCCCATCGCAGGAACAGAGAGTGGGTAGATGATGGCTTATGATTATGGTGGTTGGCGTGTCAGGTATGTCCGTATGTGCTGAGACTACTGACGTTCTTTCAATGTTGCTCCTGTAATCACCATTGTTTGCATACCTCTCATTTCTGCCAAAGGTATCAAGTAGCGGTGACAAAACGGAAGGAGACAGAGCTCCACAGTGGAAGTATCTACAATCAACATGACCCTTGGACTCCTGCCGTTTACTTTCAGGACTTCATAAATGACAATGAGAACATTGTCAATCAGGTTGCTTGCATTAGATTTAGATTCTTACTTAAATTACCTTCAAAAGCACATCTCATTTTCATTGGCAGCGTGTACCCATCCACACTTTACACCACCACACGTGACCCATTTATACGGCTGGGTTGACAAATTCGGGGTTTTAAGAAAGGTGAAACATGACCACAAAATGTCACGTAAAACTGAAATATAGCAATGCAATGGAGACTTGTGCAATCAGCACGGATTGGCTTTGTACAGCGCGAAAAAAGTTCAAGTCTATAGAGTTGTGCTAACGCCATTGCCTGTGGCCGTGCCGCTGGGCAGGACCTGGTGGCCTGGGTGACGGTGGGCTTTGTGCACATCCCCCACTCGGAGGACGTCCCCAACACAGCCACCGCCTGCAACGGCGCGGGCTTCTTCTTCCGACCGTTCAACTTCTACGACGAGGACCCATCAGTGGCCTCGCGGGACGTCGTGATCCTGCGGCCAGGGCCCCCCGGCTCGGGAGAGACGCGCGTGTCCTGGTGGACGGAGCAGAGCCCCACTGAGCCCAGCGTCTGCTTGCCCGACATTCAGCCGCTCACCTACAACGGGACGCGCGGTCCCGTGTAAAAAGCGCACAGCAACTCTGCAGTGATTCGCATATGGTGTTTATAACAAAAAACTGTTCATTAGCAAAAATGAATCTGTAGTGTCGATGAAGGAGCAGCTTATCGTGAAATAAAAACGAGATTTCTTCATGCTCAAATAAAGCTAAATGTTTCTGGGCAGCCATCGTATCCTTTGGCAACCCTAGAGCCAGATGTGGAAATTTCACTTTTCTCCACAGTGGTAATAATTTTATATATGCAGGTGGATTGATACCATGAAAAATACCCTGCATAAGCTCCGATTTGTTTGTCAATGTGTCATTTGTGCTGGCCGGAATTATAGCCTCCAGATGTTCTCAGCACTGGGAGTCTTTACAAAGATTGCACGACGGTATGAATCCTGCGGCCATGCAAACAAAGTATGTAGTGAAGTGCAAAACCACACTGTGAAACTGGGGATGTTTAACCTCTTTGACGACAGACATTCTTAACAGTGGACAATTGTGTGTGGCATAAACTAAAAACAGGGCTTAGTTTCTCACTCGATATTTTCCGGAATGCTCCTAGTCTGGTTTGGAGTACGGATTATTCACGTATATAGTACAAGGTACACATATATTCCAAAAATGTTACCCTATAGTTACAATACATATAGAATATAAGATGCATGGACTCGCAATTGTTTTCGACAAAATTAGGCAAAATGTTTGTGGTGTGGCAAAGTAATACCCGGAACAGTGTTTTGGACTATTCCAACTGATTATAAGCACTAATAAAAAGCACATGTTGAAAATGAATCACATATAAATACTGTGATGGTGCTTTGGTAACATTTCTCGACTTACAATTCGGACGGCTGTGAGCGCAATAGCAGTCAGGAGCTAACTCATCCTATGTTAGCTGTTCTAACAGTATCGTGGCCAAATACATTTCATTCACAGCAATATCGAATCATTATTTGTTTCATCTATTCCGTTTCTTGTTTCGTGTGATTTAATGATAATATTCCAAGGACGGCGTCTTTGATGCTCTATTTTGTTGTGCTCATTTATTGGTCTCCCTTGACAACTGCTCCATGGTCTGTATATCATAGCAACAAAGGTGACTGTCAGAACATTTACATGGGAAGAAGACACGCGTTGCACTTGTTGGGAAATGGCGACTCCATGAAAGCAATCCGAGCCACATGTTTGGGGTGACAGAATGTGTATGCATAAATAAGGAAATGTATTAAAGCTGAGAAGACAGCCTATGCTAGAACCCGAAATACTGTATGCAGTACCGATAATCGCCATCAGCAACTACAGCAATCATTTTCAATTCACTGCTGCATTGTGAGTGTCTCCAGCTGTCTGCAGTGGCAAAAAGCACAGCACAGTATTTTTTATAGACTGCATTGTGTGACCTCATCGTTGTCCCTCTCCTGACTGTTTGGTTTAATCCCCCGCTTGAAACTAATGAGGTTGCTTTGAAATGTTATAAACAGCAGAACCAGGGATAATATCCGAAGAAGAAATAAAAATAAGTTAAACATGGACTGTACTGGTGGTCAGTCATTGTATGCGGCTCAAGAGGGAGTTACACATGTTTGCAGTTACCACTGCAATGTGGTAACTGCAATTCTAGGTTGCAATTGTAATGTATTACTTACGGTTAGTAGCTCAGCTTGAGATTATATTTAGCATACTGATGATACTATGTAGTTTATACTTTAGCGTTTTACGTGGTTGTTTAGTTACTGCAGCTACATACTATTAACATTCCTTCCCTTTATTAATGCTACCCCTACCCCCTCCCTTTGATGCTGCTAATCCTGCATAATACATGGGCATAATATGACTTTGAAAACCCCCCGCCCACCTCCTACGCATTTCACAAGTAGCACTAATCGCATTCCTGAATTTCCCATAAATATGCTAAATTCCTCTTCATATGCAAATTATTTTGTCAAGGCGCTCTTCCTCCTCCCTCCCAGCTTAAATAGACGCTCCAAGCCTAGGACATGTCATTCAGACTCTGTCTTATCGACAGACATGTTCTTCACCTGAGGACGGCTGCTTGCGTTGTGGCCGAAACGTCGCGAGAATTATTTTATTATTTTTTATTTTTATTATTTTATTACTTCCCTTCTACGTGACTTTACCGAAAGAACCAAGAAGATGAATCCCTGCTGTCACGAAAGCTTTAAATCGAAATACTGTGAAATAATGACGAAGAAAAGGGAACAAAAGCAGAAGAGTATGCAGAATGTTTCATGCCTGGAATTATACTCAGGAAGAGAATCACATGGGTTATACACAACTATACACAAGTTAGAGATATTGAAATGGGCAAGTGTGCATAAGAGAGATGGATTGTTGCATCTCAAGGCCATGAGATGGTCACGACTTGGGGAGGCCTTCATCCAACGCTGCACGTAATACAATCTTCTGTCGTATGGCGGGAGGAAAAAGCAACCGTTTTTTAAAATGTGTTAATGTTCAAGTCGAATATTTTTCAACCAACCAAAGAGGCAGTCAACGCTGTGTGAATTGCAGCGACACCGCCAGGATGTTGCAGAGGTCAGTGATGGGTTAGATATTTGGACTTTCACCACAGTGGCAGTTTGACGATTCTTTGATCTTCCATTTATGTTGTGTTCAAATTCAGTTTAGCATGGTCCTTAGTTGGCAGTGCTTCAATATGGCTTTTATTTACCACATCCATAGCCTGCCAGGATGTCATCCAACGAGTGCCGATGTCTTTATTTCCCACTGCTAAAGCAGCGGAGGTGTGTATGCAGAAAGGAAGCCTAGATTTCAACCTCGGGCGTGGGGGTTCTTTTTCGCTCTCACTGGAGCGGCAGAGTGATGTCCATAATGTTGTGTTACTCCTATGTCAGCACGGCATCACATGGAAGGCAATGCTCAGTTTACATTGCTTCGTTGATAAAAATTAGATCTCACAATTGCTGACAAACCACAAACAAGCTGGAAGGCAGCCAGGCGGTGAGCCACATGGCTCACGTGGATTAGAAACACAAGCCACATGGCTCATTGCCTGGCTGGATAGATCACAAGTTATGATATGATATTTAAAATACAAATTTAAGTTTTTAAAAGCTTAAACATTCTTGTCTGAAAAGTGATTGGATGGGGTACAGTTGTAGTATCTGCAAAAAGGATGCCACGTAGGGCATAGAGGTCACTTTCAAGGGGTGAGATTAATTAAACAAAAACATGGATGATGCAAAACATATAGAATGGGGGTGAAAATATAGTCGTCTGTTGTTAGAGCTGGTAGCTTGGGAGGCCTTCATTCAGCAGTGGATTTATCACAACTGAGGAGCACCTAATAAGTATACCACCATGCATGTAAGAAAATTCTGTATGCTTTCTCAAAAACGATTAATCTGTAACTTTCCCATGAAAGGGATTTGAAAGTGAAGGGTTTTGTACATGAAAGCATGAAACAAGGTGAGGTAAAAAATGGGAAAAGCAGACACTTAATATTAAATTAATAGATAGGCTCTAATTCAGGGTAAATTTATATTTAGAGAGGAAAGTATAAAGCCTGAACTTGAACAGCTAATGGTGCAGGTGACAGGGAGAAGAAAATTCCAGATTAACAAGGCAACGGAGGAGTGGCCATCGAATTCGTGCAGGTTCCCTGGGATGTTGAAAGATAGCTTTTATTTCTGCATCAAATAGGAATGAAATGAGAGTATCACACTGTATTTTATTCCTAGATGTACCATGTTAATGCACGACTTTTCCATTTGTAACTTGACCACGTAAGAGTTGTTTTTGGATTATTATGTTTGTGCTGTAGTAACCAGGTTGCTATGGTGTAATCAGGTCCCCATTGAAAATTAGCTTGTATTGCCGAATGAGTGTTACCTCTGTCAAAATAAAACCTTAACCCTGACTTAAAGCTTTCGTGACTGCAGGAATTCATACTCTTTGGGTCTTTCGGTAAAGTCACGTAGATAGAAAAAAAAATCACGACGTTTCGATCGCAACACAAGCAATCGTCCTCAAGTGAAAAAATATAAAAAAAGATATAGATATGTTTTCACCTGAGGACGATTGCTTGTGTTGAGATAGAAACGTCGTGATTTTTTAAACTATTTTTCGATCTACGTGACTTTACCGAAAGACCCAAAGAGTATAAAACCTGAACCTCAAATCATTAAAGTGCAATAATTACATTGACTAGCACACATTACTTGAAAGGGATAATGCCCAACATATGAGACTGGTGATGGATTGAGCGATAATGGAAGAGAATCCACCCCCAAGTCGACAACTGTGGAAACGGAGCAACGAAAATTTAGATTTGTGGCATCGTAGGACAACGAGTGATGGAGATGGGGTCGGGAGGCATTCATCCAGCAGTGGAACGGCAACGCCTGATGATGATGATGGCACTGTCAGAGTATGATATATGAGC